CTTCACAAGGAGGGACTCTGCACCGTCTATCTGAGGCACAGTGGCCTCCCTTGGACAAAGGCTCTCCCTTATAATGACCGCTACCCCCCCGCCCCTACCCCGGGTCCTTGGCTGATGAAATGCCTGGAAACCTGGCGGGCACAGGTCAACAAGGGGAACTCCCCCCTCTATGCCCAACCAGGTCTCGGTGATACCTGCCGGATGTTTTGAACTGGAGATGGTATGCTTGGAGATGTGGCTCCTGCATATAAATTCTGTGCTCTGACAGAGATCCTGCAGCTTATAAAAGATTTAAAAACAATTTAACTGAATCTCTAAATGTGCTTAAATTGTGACATTAGATTGAATCATTCAATTTCGCACTGAATGGGAGTCGATTGCTAATCTTGGTCATCTCAATGTGATGAAGTCTGGTGGGCTGCTTTTTGATTTTCATTTAAGACCCTCCAATTTGCACATTGCCTGTACAATGTGTCTACATATATACGTTCCTGCACAAGCAATCCAGATCATGCATAAATAATATATTTGAGTCACCAAATGGTGCAGATGGGATCCTTGCATTACATGCATACAAGACTGCTAAGTTATTTATCCATTTAGCTAGATCAGTGGTTCTCAACCTTTTTAATGCCGCGACCCCAACCGGTCGTAAGTCGAGGACTAAACCGGTCGTAAGTCGAGGACTAAACCGGTCGTAAGTCGAGGACTAAACCGGTCGTAAGTCGAGGACTACCCAACCGGTCGTAAGTTGAGGACTTTCCCTGGCCGGGAGCACCGCGCATGCGTGGTTACGCCCCCTGCGCCGGCCGAGGCGTAGCTGGCAAGCGGCAGAGACGGAGCAGGCCGACCACCAGCTGGCCCAGCCCAAGGGAGGTAAGGCACCCACCGGAAAAGGGGAAAAAAAATGGTGGACAAAAAAAATGGCGGACAAAAAAAATGGCAGACAGCCTTGCTTGGCGACCCCCATGAAATGGTCGATCGACCCCAAATGGGGTCCCGACCCACAGGTTGAGAACCACTGAGCTAGATTGTCTGGCAACCGCTTCCCCAAGTGTGAAGATTAAAGATTTGCTAGTCTTTTAAATTGGAAATAGAAGCAACTCAATTTGGGATGCTCTACATACAAAGAAAGTATCCCTCCCCTTAATTATAGTCCTAAATGTTAGGAAATCATCTCATGGTTCAGTAAGTGGTGGGGACGTTTACTGCAGTAAGACTGTTGAAGTTAGACTGTTGGGTATTTCACCCTGATAGGAAATTACAGTCAGTGTAAGGAAAAGAAGCATAGAAACGAATATATTTTAAAGAGGGAGCTGTACCAATCAATACCCAGAGCTTGCTACTCACCCCTTTGAGATTGCTCATAGCCTGGTAGTAGATGAGATAGGCCTTCTTGGGTTCCAATGGAGGATTCCAGTAACCACTATAGGTTTGATTGTCTCCTACAGTGAAGGGTCTGGCTTCTGTGAGGCTGCTTGGGGAAAGTTCAGCTCCAAAGTAGTGAACCAAGCCACGGGATATGGCGTCATCAAAAGTGAGTGGCACTGGAAAGCATTCTGGGCCACTTAACTCTCGCTTGATCTTCTTAGGTCTGTCTTCTTCCACAATGACTTGATATGTGCTGGGAACCCAATAAGGTTGGGAAGAGAAAGCAAAAACAAGAGGTGATGTTAATTGAAGCCCATCCTAAACTAATTTATGTTTAGTTATTTATTTTTCACACTTCTTAACCATCCATCTCCCTCAAAGAGGGGCTGCTGGTTCTCTTACACTGCCCTTTCTAAATCCACACTGTCTATCTTCTGACTTATCTATTTGTAGTGGATAATAAATCTTTTCATCTAAAAGTATGGCATCACTTCACTGTTGGTAAATGAATTGCTTTCAGTAAAGTTTCCAGGATGAAGAAAGAAACAGATACACTTTTGATTCTCAAAGCCCTATTGTTCTGTGTTGGAGGAAGTGCCTGTAAACTAAGAGATTGCAGAACATGCTATGAAGTAAGCATGGTTGTGCTTGACTGAGACCTCCAAGAAATTTCCCATCAGCAAAAGTACTAAGAATTAGAGTCAAATAGAAGGAATGCTCATGCTATTATCCGAAAGGCTCCTCCTGAAAACTTCACAAATAATTTTGTCTTCCCATAGAAGCATTGCCCTGTAAATGGAATATTAGCAGCAGGGTTTTCCCTATCAATTCTACATCATAACAGTCAATCACCCAGCATCATAATAGTCAATAAGCATTGTCAACCTGGGGCCCTTAACTTAATTTTACGCAGCTCTTGACTAATTGCAAATGTTTCCTGCAAGCTGTAAATTGGAGTTTGTCAAGAGCAATCTCTAGTGAGGAAGAAATAGAATGGAAAGGGGGTTTTCAGACCCAAGAACAGCATGTGGTGGTTCTTCCAAGCTGAGTTCTGTATTGTTTCCACACCTATAGACCAGGGGTGTCAAACTGCTGGCCCACGGGCAGGATGCATCATGGCGAAACCGCGCCCACTCCATTGTCGGCAATGGAAAAAAGGTTGTGACATGTCGTGACATGTCACGTGACATTGCGAGTTTGACACCCCTGCCATAGACATAATCTTGTCAAACTAAACACTCTGACTATCTGTACCTATAATATAATCTGGGGACTCTTAGGGAGGGACTGTCTTCACCCTCTTTCTCTCACATAAACTATCTGGATGAGTTGTCTCATATTCCTCTGGAATGTACCCTCTTCTTCCTGGGAATCCAGGCTACTATATTCTATCACAAGAGAGTATCAACAGGAGAAAAGATGGCTTCATCTGCTTTTGTTTCTAGCAATACTCCCATTTAAACTCCACCTATTATTTCCAAATAGGACCTCTGGACCCTCTTATTCTCAAGAGAAAGAGAGAGAAAAGGTGCTGCTGCGTTATGTGAATGATAACATAAATTCATGGAGCTTCTGGGTTCCTGCAGTTTGCCTCAATTTGGGCCAGCTAATAACATATCAGGGATCTGGCCAAAAGCATTTTCATTATGGAGGCATCTCTGATCTGTTTCAATGACTTACCAAAGCAGATGCGCTATCATCGGTTTTCCATCTTTGAAATTACCAAAATAGCTCCCCAAGGAAGGCAGATACAGGCTTTGGCCAACCAATCTGATAGGAAGGCAGCTGCTAAATTTGGATCTTGCTGACTGCCGTTCCCTCACTGCCAAAAGCTCAAGGAAAAGAAGCTCTTAACTTGTGTACACAACACATTCAAAGATGCTCGCTCTTCTATCACCCATCAACGCAACATACAATTGTTCTATTCTGCCTTTGGAAGGTCCCCACTAAAAATCCCAACACAGAAGCTTTGGCAACCATATAGCTACCTTACTACCACCATCAGAACAGGTACTTTCAGTGTGTCTAAGGTAGCTGTTTAAATACCTGATGAAGTCTCACACATTGAAATAAGTTTTGTTAACACCTGGTCTGAAAAAGCAAAACCAACCCAAATGTTTCCCTCCCTGTATGAGGCAGATAAATGGATAGAGAAAACTACACAGGATGCGCTGAATTCTGCCCTATTCTTCCACATACACTGGGACACAAAAAATGTTAACTGAAGAGCCTAAAACAAATAAAGCTGACAGTCACATCCCTCAGTTTTGTCTGGAAGTGAAAGCTCCTGACAAAATCCCAGTAGTATAATTCAGCTGTTAACATAATGAGGTCTTCAAAGCCAACTAGTTATATTTGTGCACTTGCAAGAACAAAGCTATGCAAGAGTGTGACACAAGGCTGTCAACGTAGCACCCACGCATCCTCCCAGCAACCACAGGCGTTAACGTAGGAAAGTGCTCTAAAACAAGGATCTCCAGCTTTCGCACCTTTAACACTTGTGGACTTCAACGCCCAGAATTCCTCAGCATGGCTGGCTGAGGAATTCTGGGAGTTGAAGTCCACAAGTCTTAAAGTTGCCAAGGTTGGAGACCGCTGCTCTAAAAGGCCTGGAGGCAAAATTTAAACCTTCACTTTCTTAGGGACATATTTTTCTTTCCAAGGAAGTCTACAGCTTAATTGGTGGAAAGGGGAAAGGAACCCAAAATACTGAAATAGTTCATTGGATTATGTTTTAATAGGTTATTTAAAATGAAAAGTATCAGTATGTTATTACTGAAACAGGATAAACATGCTCCAGGGGTGAAGGCTGAACAACTGTGTGTACCACTGAAAGAAAATTAAACAAAAGAAAATTATTATTTCTGGGTAGAAGTATTCAATTTATGGATAGCACAATTAAGGCCAATGGTTCTCAATGCTTCCCTTCTTGCAAAAAAAGTCAATGACTTTGTTTTAATGCTTTTTAAAACAGTTGCCATGCCTAATTATAGCATATCCCTTTATTTATCTTGATCACTAAATTAACCAATCCTAGTTGTGGATGGGCATCTACTGAACATCCACTGACATCCTGTATATTAAATTATATTAGACCAAGCCATGTCCCTCCCCCAAATCATCCAAAATCTTAGATGCTAACTCCATAAGTTATCTGTGAAGCAAAAGAGGTAAGCATCTCAATAAAAAGAGGCATTTCAGCCTTGCAGGACAAGCATATTTTGCAGTTAACATTTTTAGAAAGCAAAGAAAGATAAAAGGAAATAGCCTTATTTCAAAATTCAAACTAAATTCATGATGCATTGCACAGGACTGGCTGTCCTATAAAGATCGGCCAATCTGTCAATTTTGGTTAGTCTCTGTTTCTTATTTCAGGAAATATGTCAGGCTCCATTTGTCAAACTAGAGAAGTCTGCATTGAAATGCTCCACATTTCTTTCAACTTACAGATTTTGTTTTTGCTATGTTTCTCAGTGTAGAATTTTGTAAACAACTCTCCCTAATGTAATGCACTTTTTACATTTTTACATTCCTTTAAAAAAGGAATTGTGCATTGCATTCCATAATACCTTTTCTTAGGATTCCGATAACCATGAATTTCAAACAATAATGGTTTACCAAGACAACCTTGCTGGTGTTTCAAAGCAATTTCATTCCAGCCTGCATTCAGTTATTAGTTTAGTTTAAAGGGCACCTGTTATTGTTGACTCTTTATAATGAAATTATTTTAATTTTGTGTACAGAGCTTTCCATTTTGTTTCCTTTGACTTTATTAATAACTCCTCATCTCCTCTGCCCCGAACCTGCTAGGAATGGGATGGGCTGTAAATATTGTGAAATAAAAAACAATTGCATTGTTAAAAATATGAAATTAGATAATCATTAATTTATCCTTATTACTACCTGATTGGGGCACCCCTGCCCTGGGCTGGCCGCAGGAGAACAGTGATGGTGCTATCCGACTCTCCCAGTGGTGAAGGTATGTCTCCATAATCAAAACTAGGTGCTGAAACAAAGCAAAAGGCAACAATCAAATGGGACTACATTTCACTCATTTTCTAGGTGCATTGTAGGGCTTCAAGCACACCATTGTAGCCACCATCTTGAATTTTTTTAGCATATGCTATGGATACGCCAATTGTACGTTACAGCTGTAGTAAGCAGTACTAGTCATAACAGCAAGCATCATTATTATTATCATAAGAAATGGCAAACCATATGCACTCTATTTATGGACTATGGTTCGTCACACAGTCAGCCAAATGTTCAGACTGGATTTCATGTTTTTATCCATCTATGGATTCCTTCCCAAGGACATGGGATAGGCAGATGTGGATGTTTGATGGTATTAAAACTATCATCACAGAATTTAAGCTGTTCCAAGTAAAGCTGCCCTTTGCAATGACTAATGGTGATTTTGTCACTGCTGATGATGTTCAACTGGTGTTCTAATTCTTTTGGGATTGCACCCATTACTATCAGTACTAGCTTTGCTTTCTTTTGCCACAACTGTTCTATTTCTATTGGCAAGTCTTTGTATTTTGTGTTCTTCTCCAGTTCGTTCCCTCCTATTCTACTGTCTCCAGGTATTGCCACTATTTTTATTACTGTAATTATTTGTACCCCACCTTTTATTATTTTGTTTTTGTAAATAACAAGATAGTGAACAACACAATACGATATCCTCTTCCTATTTTCCCAAAAGCAACAAGCCTGTGAAGTGAGCTGGGTTGAGAGAAAGTAATTGGCAGCCAGCTTTCATACCTAAAGCGGGATTGGAACTCACAGTGTCCTGGTGATTGGCCCTAAGATATCTAGCCAGCTTTCATGCCTAAGGCAGAACTAGAACTCACAATCTCCTGGCTTCTAGCTCCCCCCCCCTATCCTGGTTTTATTACCTTTCAGTTCACATTCAGTTGGGATTTTTCTGACCATAGAGTTTTTCCCTTAGAAATAGGGGTAGGTACTGGATATGGCTGAAGTAAGCGGTACAGGTTGTCCTTGACTTACAACTAGAATTAGAAACTTCCATCACTGAGTGAGGCGATCATTAAGTGAATCGCTCTTGATTTTATGATCGTTTTGGTTGTGGTCACTAAGCAAATCCAATTTCCCCCATTGACTTTCCTTGTCAGAAGCTGACTGGAAGGTCACCAATGGTGATCCTATGAACCCTGGACAGCACAACCATCATAAATACACACAGGATGCCAAGCACCCAAATGTTGATCATATAACTGCAGGGCTGCTGTGACAGTCATAAGTGCAACGGCTAGTCATAAATCACTTTATTCAACATCATCATAACTTCAAACAGTAGCTAAATGAATGACCATAATTCGAGGACTACTTGTACCTATTCACACAGAAACATCCCCTTTACAACACCAACTTTTTAATCTTCTCTAAGCAGCAAGGCAGAGAGGCAAACCTTGAATGCACACATTCTGAGAAATCAATTTGAAATTAAGCTGATGGCTGCATGTGACCCTAAGGTCACTCTCAATCTACTTCTGCATTAAATCCCATTCAAAATACTTATGAGAGAAAGGGTTTTTTAGAAAAAGAAAAAGAAAAAAAGGGGGGGGGAGCTTGTAGCTACCTCTTTTTCCCATCTTTACATCTGAGAATAAAAAGTATCACAAGGAGACAAGCCTTCAGATCAAGCCAGATGCTCCTGAACCATTCTTTATATCTAAGGAGCTTTGAAGGAACTGGAAACACCTATAAAAAGTGCTGTCTTTTCAACAAAGCTAAGTTGTGAGAGGTGCACAATACAATAGCGATTCAATGCAATAGGTGGATTCAATAGAGATTCAGTCAAATTGCCCAAACTTGACCTTTCTCAAATCAAAATGAACTGTAAGGTGGCACATAAATAATTGCAAAGGTGTTACTATTTGTTTTCAAACTTCATCAATTCAACATCTGTTCACTTAGGATTATGCAAGAATTTGACTGAGATCTAATCAAACTTTCCTATCAACCTCACCTATCTTCATTGAACTAAGTTAAAAAAAACCAGTAAAATCCAAACATTTCAAACAGATACAGACAATTCAGAAGCTTCTGTGTTGTTCCAAGTAGCCATTTATGAAATTCAGATTGCATCTAATTCAACCACTCCACTGGATTGATTTTCCAATCCAGTTCAAATTGGTCAGTTGGACTGATTTCCTAAATCAAAAATTGCCTATTTTGATGTGGCAATTCAACTAAGATTTGCACAGGTCAAGAGCTCTCCACAACATCAGTTACAGTACTGCCCTATTCCAATACTGTATTATATGCTGTATCTATGCGAAATGAAGTAATTTTTTTTTTGGATATGTAACTGTTAATCTCGGAGGGGTTGTTAGAGGGAAAGGGGGAAGAGTGCATGGTGCATATAAATGGAACATTTTCCCTATGGTTCCATCTCTTGCTTTTATTAATGGTCACAGACTCATGTCCTTGGCTCACAGCAAGAGAAACTACTGTATTTTTTAAAATGTGCATTGAACTGTGCTGATTATTCTAAAAGCAGCCATTACTGCATGCTCCTCTCTTCCAATGCAAGGGAAGCAAAGGAAAGAAACATAAAGGATGCATTAATTAAACCTGCTTTTGACAGAGTAGGACAAATGGAAATCATGGCCAGGAACAACTTTCAAGACTAATAAATGAACAAGATGCAGGAGAAATGTACTTGCTTCATATTTGGAGATGAGCTTACTTCAATTTATGCTCCCCAAAACTAATTTCTGAATCTGAATATCATCTTTTCTCTGTTTTCTACTTCTCAATGTGTTGAGATGAAATGTTCCCATTCAAAACTTGAATGAGAAAGTGTCTGCTTTGGAGGACATTAAGACCATTGCTCAATGGCCAGTAGGTACCCAAATCTGCAATCCCCTGGCCATTGCAGGATATGACCAGGCTGAGCATGAAGGAGGGGTCAAACACGTCATAAGTCACAAGTTTCTGCACACCCGCAAGAATTCAAGTACAGCTCACCTTGAAAGCCTTTCTTATCTCCCACTCATTTCCTTTAACCATTAGTTGGTCAGATTCTTGTAAAGAGCTTAAGCTTGCAGCTTCCGGTTTGCAATCACGGCGCTGGCGAATGTGCGGGGTGATCGCTCCCTCCACTGTCCGGTTTTCTCCCGCTGGGGGACCTTGAAAAGGGTCGGAAGTCACCCTGGAGGGGTGACAAGTGTGAAGAGGACTCCCAAGTGATCGCGGAAGGGCAGCAGATCTCCTGTTTGATCCTGGGCAACTGTTTGAACTGATGGGGAAAAGATCGGCCATTAACATGGCCCATCACCAAGCCGCTACCAGCAGAGGCCAAAATTATTAACAAGCACTTTGAAAGCACCGCGGAGGAATTGGGTGAGATCCTACCTTCTTTCTACCCCAAGTAGTATTTTCCTGTAAAAAGCTTCTTAATTTCTTCCCCCTGTGAGGAAAGAGGGAAGGGAACGTTTTCCTCTCACCCTCTAAAATGGCGGCATCTGACTACCTCGGGAAAATAAAGCCTTGAAAAGAACTAAATAATTGGATTTGCATCTATTTGATATTCAGGGATGCAAAAAGTTCCTACTCTCATGGGGATTTGCTACTCTATCTACTCTTAAAAAAGATGAAAAAGAACTTAAATTGGATAAAAACCTAGCCTGGGATTTGAAAAAGATTTTAAATGCTATTGAGGACATCTTGTGGCGAAACCTGGTACAGCAAGTGAATATTCTTGACAAAAAGACCTGCTCACAGCCCAGATCTGTCTTTGGTACTATCTAAAAGAGATTAAAAGCTGAGAGAACAGCTGGGCAGTGAAATTGCTTTTTAGGACTGTGGAGGTGAATACTCACTGACTCTCGCTTAATAAATAGCCTTCACTAAAGGACTATCTATAACCACATCAGAAATGGAGGAGGACCAGCAACAAATTTCAGCTAATTACAAACCTATACTTGAAAAAATTCTTGAAGCTACTGAGATAATTAAAGCTAGACTGAAAGACAAAGGCGCCAGCTTAAACCTACAAAGCCAAACCCTGATTGCAACCAAAGAACTTCCAATTCAAAAAACAACAGAAGAGGAAGAAATTAATACCAAGACAGAGGACTTTGAAAAACAACAAGTACAATGTACTGAAAATCTAGACAACCAAACCCTGACTGCAACTAAAGAATCTACAACCCAAAAAACAACAGAAGCGGAAGAAAGTAATACCAAGATGGAGGGTGCTAAAGATCAACAATTACAACCTACTGAAAACCTAGACAACCAAATAACAACCATAAAATTGGACATGACGTTTTACTTAGACCAGAAGAAACCTGAGGAAGAAGACCAGACTGAATTGAAGACAAATATGCTAGAGCAAATATGGGAATCTGGGCCACCAGGGCGACAACTTAACTTTAAATGGGCCAATTCCTCTGGAAAATTGATAACTAGATGGTCTCCATTGATTCAAGTAACATGCACAAGAATGAAGGGAGATCTATCTGATGATCTAGAGGCATTGGTATGGAAGCCTGGTTGGCATAAAAAGAAAGCTAGAGTTAGATTTTAAAAATGAGTTTTTTTATTTATTAGAGAGGATCCTAAATCTCAACTAATGGGCTAAAGGGAGATTTTGAGATGAAGGGAAATATGATTATTAGATTTAACTACTGTTGGAAAATGGTAAAAAATAAGGGATTAATTGGCCTAATATTGAGGATTTAGATTTATAAGGGAAATGAAAATTAATTATTAGGGAATAACTTCGAATTATTGTTTAACCCAGATAACCCAGGCGATGGATTTGAGATAATAAGGATACTCCATTAGTAAGTAGTGATGTAATAGAATGAAAAATAGAAAATGTTTATGAAATAAAATAAGAATATATTCAAGTAAGTAATAGGTGTATTTTAGATATTATAATTTTTATATAGTGAAATAAAAGAAATTTGGGTTACCTGAAATTTAAATACTATGGATATTAAAGGTTAAATTGGAATATTGTAATTGAAA